GGGACGGAGGTGTAGGGTCAGGAGACAGCGGAGGGGACACAACAGGAGAACGAGGAGGAAGACGGGCCGGAGACGACTCCGGCAGCGGGAACACTGGACCGTAGACCGGAAGGTCAGCAGGCGGCGGGGGAGACACCGGCGAGTGGTCCGGGGAGGGAAGGCCGAGCAGGCGGAGAGCGGAGACCGGCGGCGACGGCTGGGCCGGAACCCTCGGACCGGCAGAGGCAGGACGACCATCGGCGGAACCCTCAACAGCAGCACCCCCAGAACCAACACCCCCAGAGAGAGAACCCTCTCCAACACCAGCGGCACCCGAGGAAGACTCAGGGGACAGTGCGGGCAGTGAGCTTGTCCGTACCAGAGGCACGAACGTGAGCAAGGCAGCCCCAGACGTGGAACGCAGACGCGTCACCAGGGGACCCGGTCCAAAGGAGGGTCGGCGAAACCTGCGGCTGCGGGGAACGGGGCCACACGTTAAGCTGATGAGCAGCGTAGCGAACAGCGAACGGCCACAGAAAATGGGGAGCACCGGCATGAATCATGGAGGTACGGGCGACCTCCATGACCAAGCCGATGTGGCGCTCAGCAACCCCATTCTGCTGTGGCGAGTCCGGCAAGGTGTACGACTGGGTGATGCCCTCCGCACGACATAACTGTCCAAGCCAACCTGAGGCGAACTCGCCGCCACGGTCACAGTTGAGACACAACACGGGGAGACCGCGGTGGAGACGCGCAGCCACAACCCACGGGAGAAGAACGTCGGGCACGTCGGCCTTCCGCTCCAGGGGAAACACCGTGGTGTAGCGCGTGTAGTCGTCGACGAGCACAAGGAAGTAGCGCTCACCGCGCAGTCCGGGGACGGGGCAGGGCCCCAAACGTCCAGGTGCAGGGTCTGAAGGGGGGCAGTAGCAGGGCGCAGCGAGGAGGAGTGAGGGGCACGGCGGAGCCGGCCCTCAACGCAAGGCGTGCACGGTGGCGCAGTCGAGGGAGGAAGGGCGGGGAGCGACGCGGGGAGACCTAAGACAAGGCCGTGCTGGGACATGTGACGGAGACGAGGGAGAGCAGGGTGACCTAAGAAGTGGTGCCACAGAAGGGACGGGTGAGTGAGGGAACGACACGAGCAAGCTGCAGCAACCTAGGAGGACGCACCAACCGGAGGGGAAACGGTGTCTAGGGTAAACAGACCGGACAGCGGGTCCCGGAGGAACGTCGCAAGGGGGGAACCTGAGACAGCCTCAGAACAGACAGCGAACCGCTCGTGCCCGGGGAACGTGGTGGTGACGCCGAGGTCCTGGAGACAGCCGACACCAACCAGGTTCCTCAAGAATGAGGGAACGTGGAGGCCTGTAAGGGAGCCCGAGGGAACTGCTGGACAGGGAAGGGACGTAGAGCTGCGAGCGACGACAGGATCCGCAGAGGGGTCAGCACGAGAGACGACAACAAGCGTAGCAGCGGTTGCGGAAGAAGCAGGCAGAAGCACCGGAGTCGAGAGTGAAGGATAGCGCAGGAGTGGCGGGGGCAGGGAACGGAGCCGGTGCAGAGACGAGGCTAGACAAACTAGGCAGTCCTACGCCTGACGCAGCAGGGGAGGCTAGGCTACACAATGGTGCAACACCTAAACTGGAGAACACAGGGTAATAAGATCCAGCAACACTAGCAGTGTCAGAATACAAGGCATGCAAAGCAGCACCTATCTGATCCATGTCTAACTCAAAAGATCGGCACGCCCTGGCGGAGCAGGCTGTGCCAGTCAGGGAGGTCCGGGGCCGGGCCAAAGCGACGACGAAACAGATCGTCGAGGCGGCGGAAACAGCGGGCAGTCGAGTGCGGGCGGCGGCATAGAGTGCCGCGAAGGGGCCCGGTCTGAAGCTGGTACTGACAGGTGACAGCACCGGAGCCGCTGGTAGACGCCAAGCTGCGCGGGCCGCCACCACTGCCACCACCTCCGGAGGTGCCGGGCCAACCAGGCGGGAGGCGAGCCCACTGCTGCGGGGGCTGCGGCTGGGACGGCGGCTGCTGCTGGGACGGCGGCTGCGGCGCGTGCTGCTCTTGCTGCGGCTGGGGCTGCTGCTCCTGACCACCAATGCTAGTCCCCCCAGACAGACTAGTCTCACGACCACCACCACCACTACCTGCGCCACCACCCCTACCACCCTGGCGACCACGGCCACCGCGGCGCGAGCGCTGCTGCGGGTGGACCGCAGCAGCTGTCTCAGTGAGGGGGGTCGCCGTGGCGACCGCAGCCGATACATCAGTGAACGTGCACTGGGAGGGGGCACAGCCGTGAAAGATAGAGACTGCCGGCGCACCGCTCGACTGAGCGATAGTGCGCTGGCGAGTCTCAATCTCGGTGAGGGTGTCGACAAAGGCAGTGAGGGTGAGGTCAGCCGGGTGCAGGCTAAGGAAGTGATCGCGAGCACTAGCGAGGCGGTCTGGCAGGCGCATGGCGATAAAATAGAGTGTTATGCAGAAAGGGGGGGGGAGCGCAGTGAGCTGGGCAGCAGTGCTGGCAGTGCGATAGCGGGTCTCTAGGGCACGAAGGTGAGCGGCAAAGTCTGCGACAGTAGGGAAGGCTGCAAGGTCTGGGAACAGCATCGGGAAAAGCAAGCGGCCAGCAGAAGCAGACGCGGGTATGGAATAGCGGGCAATAACTGCGTCTAAGTAAGCTTTGGCCGTATCAACAGTAGCAAAGCGCGAGCGCTCAGAGACAGGGAGGGCGTGGCTAATAGCAACCTGAGCGACTGCATCGGCTGAGTTCCAGACAGTGCAGGCAAGTGCAGCATTAGAGAAGGCCTCACGGCCATCAGAGGAGGGGTCAACAGGGAGGGGAGCAGGTGCAGGGGGGCGGGGGAGCAAACCGTCGACATGGACAACCAAAGAGTGGCCATCCTGGCGCTGACCTGTAAGGTGGGGGCGGAGGTCAGAGAGCCAGGCGGCGAAGTCAACCGCGTGACCCTCGGCGTCCAGTCGGAGTACGAAATCAGCCATCGTGCAGGGTCAGTGGCACCGCTCCACTGCGCCACAGGAACACAGCTCCGCAGGAACACAACGGCAGCGCCCTCCAGCACAGCGGCCGCAAAGGCGCCCCAGCACGGGCGAGCAGGCTCGAAGAGGGGCCGGACGGTCAGTCAGGGCGGCCAGGAAGGCACGGCGGGGCCAGGCAGGTGCGGCAGGGCCAGGAGGTGCGGCAGGGCCAAGAGGCGCGTCAGGGCCAGGCAGGCGCGGGGGGGCCAGGCAGGCGCGGCAGGTCCAGGCAGGCGTGGCGGGGCCAGGCAGGCGCGGCGGGGCCAGGCAGGGGCGGCGGGGCCAGGAGGCGCGGCAGGGCCAGGCAGGCGCGGTGGGGCCAGGAAGCGCGGCGGGGCCAGGCAGGTGCGGCGGGGCCAGGCAGGCGAGGCGGGGCCAGGCAGGCGCGGCGGGGCCAGGCAGGGGCGGCGGGGCCAGGAGGTGCGGCAGGGCCAGGCAGGCGCGACGGGGCCAGGCAGTGCGGTGGGGCCAGGTAGGCGCGGCGGGTGCTAGGAGGCACGAGGGGCCCAGGAGGGGCGCGACGGGCAAGGAGGCGCGACAGGGGCCCAGGAGGGGCGCGACGGGCTAGGAGGCGCTACAGGGGCCCAGGAGGGGCGCGACGGGCTAGGAGGCACACGGGGCCCAGGAGAGGTGCGACGGGGCCTAGGAGGCACGAGGGGCCCAGGAGGGGCACGACGGGCTAGGAGGCGCGGCAGGGGCCCAGGAGGGGCGCGACGGGCTAGGGGGGCACGACAGGGGCCCAGGAGGGGCGCGATAGGTTAGGAGGCGCGACGGGGGCCCAGGAGGGGCGCGACGGGGCCTAGGAGGCACGAGGGGCCCAGGGGGGGGGGCACGACGGGCTACGAGGCGCGGTAGGGGCCCAGGAGGGGCGTGACGGGCTAGGAGGCGCGATATGGGCCCAGGAGGGGCGCGACAGGCTAGGAGGCGCGACGGGGGGCCCAGGAGGGGCGCGACGGGGGGCCCAGGAGGGGCGCGACGGGGTGCCCAGGAGGGGCGCGACGGGACCTAGGTGGGGGCGGCGCGACGGGGCCTAGGTGAAAGCGCGACGGGGCCTAGGAGGCGCGGGCGGAAGAGGTAGGTGGGGGGGGGGGGTCGAACCTACGGGTGATACCATGTCGAGAAGAAAACTGAACAAGTGTTGAATAGAGAGAGAGGACAAGGGTATATACCTAAGAGTGTTGTACCCTCTAAGAGGTGACCCTATACAGTCTATACAAATATGAGTTATACATATATTTGACAAGTGTAAGCTGGTAGAAGTTTTGGCCAGTGTCACCTTGTTGCTATCCGCTTTCCGTTTTCCACATTTCTGTGCAGGTATTTAGATGAGTAGAATTCAGAGACATGGGGCTCTGTATCATCCCGTTTTGTTGTACCGAATTTGTTATGAATGGGACTGCCGAGTAGCGCGGAGGGCAATGGCGAAACTGTGAACGAGTGAATGACAATAAAATGAAAGACTGTACAATATATAGAAAGCCTAGGGTGATCCTGGACGTAGGATCGGAAGGTTCGGGAAAGGTATCGAAGGGCCTCGATGTGTCGTAACGAGGCCCGGAAAGGCCCAGGAGGCTCGAACTGAAGGGTCTGGAACCCTATCACTGGTTCGGGACTGTTCGAGTCGTACGCCCTGTAGCAAGCCTCAGTAAGGAATTACTCATTCCTTACAGAATTTGTTGTAATATAGCAGTTACAGTTGTTACCAGACGTCTGATTGTAAACATATGAAAGTATAATTTCTTTGTAAATAGTATGATTTGAAGGCTTGCGTAGATGCAAAATATTTGAATAGGTATTATATGCATTCGCATAGTGCAGCATTTTTTCGTGCTTGCTTCCTTCCAGGTTTGGCCACTGCGCGGACGCGGCTCGGGGTGACGTCACCTGTTGGTTTGGTGTTGGAATCCTGCAGGAGTCAAAGTTGTGACATGCACGTCACCCGCCGAGGGTAACCTGCGGGTCACAACGGAAGTTATTTCGACAGGGGGATACCCTCGACTGGTGCCCAGCGACACAAGGGTAACCCTCGTGGGGGAAACTCTCAGGAAACCTGTGACGATGATGTGGGTTGAATTTTGCAGGGGTGATTTTTGGGATGTGGGAGGCGGCCCCCTTGTCCACGTGGCACTCGCTGATTCCCGCGGGGAAGCGGCGCGTCGCCCTCATGCTCCTCGCGGCCGTTGCGGCGTACGCCGCGGCGGGGCTGCTCGCTTCGCGCTCGCCGCGCAACCCGGCGCAGCTGCGGAAGGCGTGGTTGGCGGGCGGGGGATCATCGGGGGAGGCGGCGGCGGGGGAATTGCTGGCGCAGGCAGGGGGGAGAAGCGGGGCGTGGCGGAAGGCGGGACGCGATGAAGGGTGGATGGCGGGAGTATTAGGCGGAGGGAACGAAAGCTGGAGAGTGGGGAGAGCACGGGAATGCAGGGCAGCAAGCAGAGCAGGGAAAGCAGGAGCAGTGGAATCTACAGCAAGCAGAGCAGCAACCGACAGAGAGCGACGGGGGCGAGGGGGCACGCGAGGCAAAATTTCGAGAGAGCAAGGAAGGCCAAGAGGCCACTCCGTCGCCCGGAGAGAGCGAGTGGGAGGCGCAGCAGTAGGCGTACCGGGAGGAGGTGGAACGAGCAGCAGCGCACGGCGAGCGGTACTACCTGCTGTCGTCCGCCACGGACCGGTGCGTGGGGCAGTCGCACTGGTCGTGGACGCTGCGGTGCGCCACTGCTGAGGCCAAGGCGCTGCGGCGGACGCTGGTGCTGGTGACGGACCGGTGCCTGCACCAGACGCACTCGAGAAGCGGGAGGGACGAGCACGGGCACGTGGGGCTGTACTATAATCTGACCACCATGATGAGGTGAGGTGGGAGGGGAGGGGGAAAGGAGGGCGGGTGGGGTGGGGTGGGGTGGGTTGCGGCGTGGTGTGATGTGAGGGCATGAGTCGTGGCAGATGCTGCGAGTGGGATATGTGGAGATGCTTCGGGCGCTGCAGCGCTCGCTGGTGCACCTTGGTTGCCAGGTGCACTTGAGGCAGGGGTGGGATGAACACGGGCATGGCATGTAAGGCTGTGGTACAAGCTGGCCAACATGATGAGCTAATGTGACGTGTGGTGGGGTGTGAGTGGGTGTGAGTGAGGTGTGAGAGGTACCGTGGTGAGGTGTGGAGGGGTGTGGGTGGGTGCTGAGAGGTGATGTGATGTGACGGCATGTGCTGTGGGGTAGTGCCGATAGGGACGAGCGCGGACACATGGGGCTGCGTTGCAACCCGACTACCATGATGAGGTGACTGGGCGAAGAGCGGATGGAGGGTTGATTTTTATGGTGCGAGTGGCAGTGCCGCTCAGTACCACTCAGTCGCAGGGGGAGCGGGAGTGGAATGAATGACTGGAGATGCTTCCAGACGGGGTGGAAGGGGCAGGAGGGGCAGGAGGGGCGGGAGGGGTTGGAGGGGTGGGATGGGCGGTACGGGTAGGATGAGGGTTGTAGTGCTCGCTAGTGCTGGGGGGACTGGAGCGGACTGCAGCCTTCACGGGACGGACCGGTGCTGTTTTTGAGGCGCCTAAAAAATGGACCAGTGCTGTGGTACAAGCTGACCAGCACGATGTGGGGTGCGGTGTGTGTGAGTGGGGTGTGAGAATGCTCAAAACACGCCGACAACACGGAGGATGGGCTGATGAGGGCTGGAGCACAGGGAGAGAGGATCAAGCCCAGTCTTGTGTGATCGCAGCATGGGACGGCAGCACGGTGCCCGTGGTGCCCATGGTGCTGTGTTTTCCTTTCCATTCTCTTCGCCCGCAGTCCTTCGCCACCTCTGCCTCTTCCTGCTGGCAGCCCACCCTTGGCACTTCTTAGTTCGCTTTGGCTTTGGCGCTTCTTAACACCCACGCATTTCCACCTTGCAGCACTTCTTCTGTGCCCTTCACCCGTCCTCCCCTGTCCTCCTCCCCCTTCCTCTGCCCAAGCTCTGCCCCTCCCCAGCCGGCAGCCCATGGTGCTGATGGAGCAATTCCTGGCGCGCTTTGGCTCATGGGACGTGATGCCCATGCGCAAGTTCCCCATCGGGCCGAGCACGGGCGAGCTGGCAGCGGAGAAGGATGTGTTTCTGGTGGTGCGCGTGCCGGAGGAGGGCCAGTACGGCTTCATGCTGTGCTACAAGGAGCACAACCAGGTGCGTGCAGCGAGCTCTACCAGGTGCGTGGCTTTGCGGCCGAGTGCCTAGGGCACGAGGGATGCATCGTGCAACGAGTGGGTGCCTGTGCTGGGGCATGGGGCTGGTTGAATGCAACTCGCAGCGCTCTCTCCCCTTGCCCCCTCTTGCATGCATCCCCGTCTGCGTCCACTCCAGGACAGCGTCACACCCACCCCGAGCTGCTTTCTCTCCCAATGACGCCATCACATCACCGGACTCCTCGGTTGTCCCTCTGCTTGCACTCATCCGTGCATCCCTCTCTGCATGCACCCCGGTCTGCATGCACCCCGGTCTGCATGCACCCCGGTCTGCATGCAACCCGGTCTGCATGCATCCCCACCTGCATGCATCCCCACCTGCATGCATCCCCACCTGCATGCATCCCCACCTGCATGCATCCCCACCTGCATGCATCCCCACCTGCATGCATCCCCACCTGCATGCATCCCCACCTGCATGCATCCCCACCTGCATGCATCCCCACCTGCATGCATCCCCACCTGCATGCATCCCCACCTGCATGCATCCCCACCTGCATGCATCCCCACCTGCATGCATCCCCACCTGCATGCATCCCCACCTGCATGCATCCCCACCTGCATGCATCCCCACCTGCATGCATCTCCACCTGCATGCATCCCCACCTGCATGCATCCCCACCTGCATGCATCCCCACCTGCATGCATCCCCACCTGCATGCATCCCCACCTGCATGCATCTCCACCTGCATGCATCCCCACCTGCATGCATCCCCACCTGCATGCATCCCCACCTGCGTGCATCCCCACCTGCGTGCATCCCCACCTGCATGCATCCCCACCTGCATGCATCCCCACCTGCATGCATCCCCACCTGCATGCATCACCACCTGCATGCATCCACCTGCATGCATCCCCACCTGCATGCATCACCACCTGCATGCATCCACCTGCATGCATCCCCACCTGCATGCATCCCCACCTGCATGCATCCCCACCTGCATGCATCCCCACCTGCATGCATCCCCACCTGCATGCATCCCCACCTGCATGCATCCCCACCTGCATGCATCCCCGCCTGCATGCATCCCCGCCTGCATGCATCCCCGCCTGCATGCATCCCCGTCCGCATGTATCCCTCTCTGCGCACATGCACACACACCTGTGTCCATGCACATGCACATACCAGGGGAATGTGACCTTTGACCCAGAGCTGCCCTTCCCCACCGATGCCATCTCCCACCTCAGTGCTTGTCTCTCTGCTTTTTTACATCCATTCATCCCTGTCCCTGCACACCCACACACCCACCCACCCACCAGGACAATGTGACCTTTGACCCCGAGCTGCTCTTCCCCATCAACGCCATCACCCGGCTGGCGCACGCCATAGCGGGCGCCATGGGCGGGCAGCAGCAGTTTGACTACGTGCACGTGCGGCGGGGGGACAAGCTCAACGCCACGCGCTGGCCGCACCTCGACCATGACACACGGCCCGAGGCGTGAGTGCATCTTGCCTGACTATGCATTCCCCTCGTTTCTAAGGAGCAACTCCCCGCACCTCCTTGCGCCGCGCAATTGCGGGGACCACTACACCCAGCCACAAGTGTGAGTGGCGGAATCTGCATCAGCACGCCATTACTGCCCTTCCTTGCTTTGTCTTCCGTTTTCTGCCCACTCCACCCCCCCATGCAATTCCTTGTGCCATGTGCTGCCTGCACCTTGACCATGAGAGCAACTGGCCACAAGCGTCCTGCATCTCCATTCCCCCCGTGCGTGCATGCACCATGCCATGCCACTGCTGTCTGCCTCTTCTTTCTCCTTGCTGCTAAGTAGCAACTCCCGTGCATTTCCCTGCGCCGAGCGCTGGCCGCACCTCAACCATTGCCCCCGGCCAGGCCTCTTGCGTGAGTGCGTGGCTCAGCAGCAGCACACTAAGTTGGTTCTTTTAGAATTCTCACCAACCAGCAAACGTATGGGGGATGTAAGTTGCATGTGTACATCGTACCACGTTTTGTCTGACAGGTTCCTTCTCTATATCCATACCACGTGTTTCTCATCGTGCAAAGCATGCGCCAGGAGGTTTCCCCGTGCCGCATTCGTGGTTTCTTAAGAAAATTCTCTGCTCGTCGACATTCTTTGCCTTTCAGCACTCCTTGCGAGCAAATCTCCCGCACTCTTTCCCCTTGGTATGGCCCCCCCACGCCTCCTGTGCTGCTGCCCACCTCTCCCGTTACCCCCGCACACCCCTCCTCCCCAACAGCCTCTTGCAGAAGTTGCCAGCCCTCATCCCCCCCGGCAGCACCCTCTACATCGCCAGCAACGAGGGGGACCCGCGGTTCTTCGATCCTCTTAAAGCCACATACACAGTGCACAGGGAGGATGACTTTGCAGCGCTGTGGGGCGAGGGGTCCGCGTGGGAGGCTGAGATGCGGGGGGTGGCAGCGGCGGTGAGCGTGGCACAAGGCACACGGGTGGACTTTGACAGCGAGATGCGCGTGCTGGTGGACTACTCCCTCAAGAAGCTCGCCAGACGCACCGTGGAGACCTTCTACGACCTCACCAATGACCCCAAGGATGGTGAGCACCTGACGGGGGTTAGGGGCCGTGGTGCTGGCGATTACTCGATCAAGAAGCCCGCAGGGAGCACGGAGCACGGAGGACCAAGGAGAAGTTCTACGACCTCACGAGTGAACCCAGGGATGGTGAGATTGTTGTGGGCGTGGGCCGTGGGCGGGAGTGTTGTGGGATTTTCCTATATCCTATAATACATACAAGACGGTACCTTGAACAGCTCCCTCCTTTCCCTCTTCTCGTCACACCGTCTGTCCTCGTTGCCTGCACCTGCAGGTGTTGTGCTACCTGAGGGCAAACAGTGAGGAGGACCATCACGAGCATCGGGGTTTTTAAGAGCCCCCGCACGCCTTGTTGTCAAGTCTTCACTTGCTGCCGCTTCTGCTGCTGCATGCGTCACTGGGGCTCGTCTGCAAGGGTGCGCACTGTATTGCTGCACGCAGGACGACGACAGGGAGGGCAGGGGAGGACAAGGAGGGGAGCAGGCCTATAGATTGGTTTGAGCGTACGCTGATCAACCATCCTTACCCTCCTGTTTTAGGCTGATCTCCCAGCCTCCAACGTAGCAAAAAGGCTGGAAATTCAGCCTTGCATGCTTTTTTTTTCCTAGATGTTCAGACTTAGCATGGGGAAAAAGGCTGCAGCCAATATTCAATAGTTGCACTTGGAAAAATTACAACAACTCCTCATAACAACTAGGGCCAGCACCATCATTCTCTACTGCATCTTCCATAACTAGGGGGGGCTCAAAAGCATCCTCTTCCATCGGCTCCTTGCCCTTTCTGCTCTGCACAGTGGCCAGGGAGGTGGAGAATGGGCGCCTCTTCTTGTAGGCCCGCCAGATCTCCACCACAGCATCCCAGTTCGGCGCATAGTCTAGCATAGACATGCACATTAAGTCAGATAACCTAGTATCCTTAAGACTACCCCGCTACCAGCTCTTGATGAGATTCTGTCGGGAGAAACCCCGCTCACATTCTACGGTACTGAGCGGTAGAACCGCCACAGCCACCCACAACCCCACCAGGTTTGGGTAATGGATCTGCCAGTCGGCGGTCTTGAGGACTGTCGTAAGAGCCGTGAAGAACTTCTTGTCCGCAGGGCTGAGACGGGCCAGCATGGGGACGAAGTGCCAGAGTTCCTTCTCTGCCCCTCTTTTATCGACGCCTGCAACACATCGAACCACGCACATGGGGAAGGGAACACGGTTAACCAACGATGAACAAGAGGCTCAAGGGAGGGGACACATGCGTTTACGACTCGCGGTCCTGCCGGAATTCCAGTACCTGGAAGGATCTCGGGGTTCTCTTCAGCGCGGAAAAGTTTGATCAGTTGTCGGTACCACTCCAAACACTGCGCGTTCCTGATGCTGCGCTCCCAGTTCGCTGGCCAGGTGTCAGCAGAGAACAGCCGGCAGCCAGACAGCTGCTCCAGGTCTCCAAACCTCGACTCCAGGTGGCGCACAGTCTCCTCCGCCATCTCCGTGCAATCGTCCACGCAAGCGTTGTGAGTTCCCTTCCCGGGGTAGCCGTCCAGCTCGGCGTAGTGAAGACTCACGGTGAAGGTTGTTGGCCGGCCGTCTGAATCCACCCCATCAACGGTGACGTTGCTGGAACCGCCAGGACCGTGACGGGTGATGAACTGTACGAGCCGCTCCCTTGGGGATCCACCGAAGTCGTCGCCGCAGTCGACGTAGCGGCTCTTGATAATGCTCGTCGTCTGCGCGATCTGCCCTTGGACCGTGGTGTAGTCCAGCTGCCAAGAGAGGGGGTGGGATATAGTGTTTAGAGAGAGAGAGAGAGAGAGAGAGAGAGAGAGAGAGAGAGAGAGAGAGAGAGAGAGAGAGAGAGAAAGAGAGAGAGAGAGAGAGAGAGAGAGAGAGAGAGAGAGAGAGAGAGAGAGAGAGAGAGAGAGAGTGAGAGAAGGAGTTTATTTCGCAGTGAAAGAGTTTACCTCTCTCTGCTGGACGATCTGGTTGAGGATGTTCAGTTGCTCAAGCAGGTCAGCAAGGAAATGGAGATAAAACCAGAAGCGGTAACTCCTCACAATCGCCAACAACTTGGCGTTGCCCATCTCTGTCACCATGACAACAACAGCCGGAAGAACAGCAAGGAGCCTCAAGACAGCCTCACCACGGGAGAGCCACCTAATGCCATGTATCCCCTGCAGCTCCAGGTTCGTTGAGGAAAACTCATCTTGCAGGTTCATGAAGCGCTGGTGCTAGGGACCAGACCGGCCAAGAAACTCCGCGATGCCCTTGATGAAATCATCCACCATGCCGAAGGCAGGGTTAGACTCTGCCGCTGCCTTTGCCGCCAAGGCCTCCCTGCGTGTGTCCACATTACAGTGTCCGCAAGTGAAGAAACGGTGTAATCTGGGGTCAGAGTGTCATGCGTTCGTCACTTACCTGTGAGCGATGCAGTGACAGGAGACGATGTGTGGTATGCGCACCCTCAGTCGAGCGACAAGCCCTCCTCGAGAGCCGAGCATGACAGCAGCCCCGTCGGTGCTAATGCCGGCAATCTTCCGCAGGTCTACTCCAACAGCCTGGAGGTGGGACAATAGTAAAGCGACAAGCGACGCAGCGTCAGCTCGCTCGACAGTTAGATGGGCAAGAAGCTCAGTAACTTGTCGCTTCTCACGAATGAACGTGACAAACACGATCATGTGTTTGCCACGCCGGCGGTCAGTGCTCTCATCGAGGCTGATCCCGATGAAAGGGCTCGCTAGAAGATGCTCCAGCTGGGTTGTTTGCAGCCAGGTAGCCAGCGCCTGTGTGAGCTGCCCGAACCCGTACCTGCAACCACACTTGTAACCAAACGTGTTAGCAACCTGATCCCGTATAGAACAGTACACAGAAACCAACGAAAAGAAAGGCTTACGAGTTGTAGTAAGTGCCGTATCCCTGCTGAGGGAAACCCTTGATCTTGCGTTCCGACAAGTATCGAACGAGTCGGATCCAAGTCTCCATTGGCTCATTGCACCGGCTGCTGAAGTAGAGCACGTCGAGCAGCGAAGTAACATGGAGCCTCTCGACGTCTTGGGTGACTGGATGCTGGTCAATCTGTGGCTGGGTGGTCGCATCTTGCAGGAGGTCGAGTTGCTTGCTGTACGCGAGCTGATGCCTGGTCGTACCAGCGTGCTTCTTGAAGGCCTAGACCTGGACGTCAGTCGCTCCAGCGCCCTTCCTGCCGGTCTTCCCCTTCAACCCTGCGTGTTCAGTACAGACAGAGCACTTAAACGCGGGCAACCCGCAATCAGTTTTCGTCAGCAGAAGCCATGGATACGTGCTGGACCACCGTCGTTGAAACTTGTCAAGAGCGTCAGCATACAAGTCTTCGGGAGTGAGACGCCTCTTCCCTGACTGCAGCACGTTGGAGTCATCTGGTGCGTCATCGTCCGAATCTGAGTCCGACGCCTCGGGGTCCGGTTCCTTCGGGGGAGGGGCAAACGACAGTCGAATCTGCCGGTAGCGGTTGCCCGACTTCGCGGGAACGACTGAAGGGCTAACGGGTGGGGGCGCCGAGTCGAGAACAGAAGCCAGGCGCACAGGAGACGAGGATGCGACAGCAGGACGCGTACACTGGACAACCGGGGGAGGCGTGGTTGCTGGAGCATGCCTACTCGACGATGGTTCCGCTGGTCCGGCATGGACTCGAGCTGGGACGGGGATACTCGCCAACGAAGACAACAACGTATCTAGGCCGGTGCGAGCTTCTCTAGGCAAGTCGTCATCGTCGCCTACTCCGTTGTCAGCACCGCCAGACTCAGACATGGTGGCGAGGGGAAAAGCGCGTGGAAAAAGCTGCAGAAACAGCTGATGAGGACCTAACTAAGCTGGGAGGAGAAAGAACAAGGCATCGCCTGCATGCAGCACGATGCCTGTTGTGGAACAAACGGTTGGAGCAGAGCATACATTCTTGAAGGGCATGCCCATGAAGAACGCGATGCCCCAACCCTGCCAACAATGCATGGCAAGGGGAGGGGGGGGGGTGTTATCATCATATGTCGAGGCGCTCCAGCTGAGCAGCATGTCCAGTGCGCTGTATGTACGAGATTGGGTGTGGCATGCTCATTTTGGTCAAGTACCAATCACACTACGCCGTTCACGGTGTGTTGGCGACAACAAGGGAATATGCGAGTCTGCTGCCGGGCCGCCGGGCCAGCACATCCCAAAACAAGCGTGATTGACGGGGGAAATGCTGTCAGACACCGAGATTTTGGGGGGGGGCTAGAATCACGTTGTACGCGGTTTCAGACTTATCCAGAAAACACACGCCGATGTTACAGAGTGAACCATACTCAAAACACTGAAATTTCAGATATTGGCTAAAAAAATATGCTGATTTTTCAGCATTGACCAACAAAAAAAAGCCCAGCCAAAAAGCCTTGCTACCACAGAAATCCCTGAAAAAAGGCTGAATCAGCGTAAAAAAGTCTGATATCTAGGGGCCTGGAGGGGAGGATAGAGGGGCGCTTTTGTGATTGCTAGAGGTTGGCATGCTAAGTTGGTTACCGGGTGCTGGATTTTTAGGGAACAGATGGCAGCGCGGCATGCTAATGATTGAAGTGAGGGTGTAGGAGGAAATCTGTGTGTGCACCGAGATGTGTCAAGGGGCAGGGAATGAAACTTGAGTTCAAGGCCAGGGGGGTGGGGTAAGTTGGGGAATGGGGTGGTGGGGGGGGTGGCAAGAGGGAAGGAGGGGGATGGGGTATGGACAGACAGCACGGGTAACAGGAGGGAAACCACCCTATCACAGCTCTGGCTAGAGGTAGCTGTCAAGCGAGGCAGTGCACCCGGCAGTACACGCAGCGCGCAGGGGCAGTACGCACAGGCTGTTAGAAACAAGAATGAATAATGAAGACAAGGGAGAACAGGGGAGATATAGTGTTTGGGTTGTACCCCCTAAGAGCATACCCTATCTAGCCTAAAACTTCTACATAACAATATATGTATAAGTTGACACTGTTGGAAATATCTCAAGGACTTAAGCGTTTCTGAAGTGTAACATCACACTCGAGGAAGATCGTAACGAGTACGCAAGTCAACGGAGGTTACACGAGGGGATGGACAAAGAACATGAAAGGACTCGAAGGGTCGCAACCGGAGGTTGCGACTGACCGTTACAACTGCAGGAATGGTAACCGAAGCGACAATCGAGTCGCTGTGTGACTCGATAAACCGCCATCCAACTGTATTCTACAACTGCTTGTTTTCTACTTTCTATATATTGCTGTATGCTTGTTCACTTTAATCAATCACTTGTTCTCATATACTAGTACAAGGGTTCAACTACTCAACTTCCGCTGCACTACTCAAGCATCTTTTACAACTGGGACTCAGTCTCTGGAAAGATCCTAAGAGCATTTCTCAGCCCAACATGGTATGAGAGCTGGTCAGAGACCAAACTCCCAGCAACTACGCTCTATCTACAATCTGCAATTCAACGACTTCATTAATTACAAATCATGGACAGCAAGGGCAAGAAAATCTCTACGGGCTCACACAGCGCCGAAGACACTCAACCCGGCAACTCTGGATTGCATACTTCAGGACTGCAAACCGAGACCGGCGCTGCTCAAGAAACAACAGGAAGAGCACCGGAAATGGTGACCGCATCACCCTCTTCAAGCGTGGATCCGAACCTTATGGAAAGGTTCTTCAGCTTCATGTCGCACTTCGACCAGCAGCAGCAGACAAGGACACCTGCGCATTCAACACAGAGCAACGGAGGAAACATGGGATTAGCGCCGATGAGCCTCGACAATTCATCGTTCGGGCAACACAATCAAGCGCCTACCTTTGCGCCTTATCACTCTTCACCGGGGACATTCGAGTTCATGCCGCCCCGTGCCCAACCAACAGCAGCTGCATCACAACAGACACCAAACGAGATTTTGAGTCTCCAGGCGCAGTTTTCACACGTAATCAAGTTACAGACATCCTCACCGTTCAACGGACACGACTTCTTTACCTGGAGCTTTGAGTTCGAGCTGCTGATGGAGGCTGCGCATCTCTTGGGATACTTCAACGGGTCCCTGCCATTTCCAAGCAATGGCACTGCAAAGGAGCAAGAAATATTTACTTATCAGTTGCTGCTGGCGTACACAGTTCTCCTGCGGAACCTGTCACCACAAGAACAGCAAAGCATCAGAACATACCGGAGCTATGGAAACTCCACGGAACTCGCATGGCATCATCTCAAGTGTCTCTATCAGGCAAACGACAGCGTGACACAAAGCAGACTCATGCAACAGCTGACAACAATACAGATGAAGACCGGGGAAAAGGCGATGCAGTATATGATTCGATGCCAGACCCTCCGCGACCGCCTGCTTCGGTGCGGAGGAACAATCACTGAAGAAAGCTTCGTGACGCTTGTCCTCGCCGGGCTCGGGCCAGAATGGAGAACCACACGCTCGCTTCTTCGCGCCCACGGAAGGATCTCGGAGATGCACCTCTGCGCCGAGCTTCATGCTGAACAACAGGAGATGGACCTGTTCGAAGAAAGACAACCAAGGAAGCAGCAGCAGTTAGTTTTCTACACTCAACGAAGGAACGACAACAACTACAATCGACGCAGCAAGCAAGATCAACGCGACAACAGAGGACTCACCATCGTGCCACCGTTCTGCCACAACTGTCAAACATCCGGACATTCCAAAGTCAACTGCACACGTCCTCGTGTCTATCGTCCAGTAGACCCACAAGTCGCCTCCACTCAAGAAAGCCCTCCAAGGGACAAGGGACACCGAACATCATCAACTGCATGGTACACATCGACAACTGCGCACCCGGATCACCACCCACTTACGCGCCAGACGAAGAAGAATTCCCGCCGCCGCGCTCATAAGGACTTCAGGTCAGCCCGACATACGCTGCGGTCGCCAATGCCGAACCCACCGGGCGAAACAGCTGGTTCTGGGACAGCTGCTGCGGTCAACACATGTGTTCTTCCGGACGCTTCGTGCAACGAGAGCGACGCCTCAACCGCGACGTCATCATCACCGTCGCCAACAACGAGAACCTGGAAACAAACAGACAAGGGGTGGTTCAGTTACAGTCCATGGAAACAAATGTCATCCTGCAACTCAACAAGGTCTTAATCGTTGACAACTTGGGATACAATCTGCTAAGCGTCAGCCAGCTAATGGCAAAAGGGATTCACCTGGAGTGCGACTCGGACTCCAACGAGTTTCGTCTTTACCACGGAAAGGGTGGCCTCTTCATCGGTCGTGCTCTCCTGAAGTCCGGCGTCTTCGTGTTGGACTTCGTCCCCGACCGAGGTACTGCCGACAGCGATGGGATCGTGTCGTTCGCCGCCTGGACACACCCGCCGGATCTTGACCCCGACTTCAACCCCGATGGATTCTGGTACTCCAACACCATACCTGCAGCAGAAAGAACACGAGCGTTAGCAGTCATCAGACAAGAAAGACAAGTACTAGCAAGTGTTCCTTCCCAACCATCACCTGCAGTAACAGCAGCAGGATCCAGCCGAGTACCACCACCAGCGATCCGAGGATCGCCAACCGAAGCAGATCAACTTATGCCCATCACACGAGAAGTCTGCCGCAGTCCCGCCACGGTCGTCGCGTTCTTCTCCAACACCGACATATACCACCGCTCGCCCGGCCATCGCGCTCCCGACGACATCTGGCACCAACGCCTCGGGCATCCTGCAAACAGTACAATACTGCAAACCATCCAAGCCGAAGTGTTAGAACGAAACGCTCTCCTTACAACGAGCGGCCAAGAACTTCGACGACCACGCGCACGGTGCTTTACGTGCCCCGAAGCCGATCTTCCCCACCAGCCTTTTCCATCCCATCACAACCCAAGCGCACCTGCATACGCACCGATGGAAAAAGTCTACAGCGACATTTTAAACATGCCTCGAGAAGACACTGAAGCTGACTTCAACTATGTCATCACGTTTATCGACGCAGCAACAAGATATGTTTGGCACTACAACCTCAAGACGCGCGATCAAGCCTTCGACGCCTTCACGACATGGCTCCCCATCGCCGAACGAGAATCAGGAACCAAGCTCAAGAGCTTCCATTCAGACGGTGCACTGGAATACCAGTCACAACGCTTCAGGAGCTATCTGGCAGAAAGAGGAATCAGACGCCTGGTGTCTCTGCCCTACGCTCACCAGCAGCAGGGGGTCGCAGAACGCATGAACCGGACCTTGCAGATGACGATGCAAAAGCTGCTCCTTGGGATGAGACTGCCCACCACACTGTGGCCAGACGCGATGACAGATGCAGTCCACCTAGACAATCTATTGTCCTCGTCATCGCTTCCCAACAACGCATCACCGCACCTGCTGTGGACACGAAAAAGGGGCAGCACAAAATTACTCCGAGTTTTCGGCTGCATGGTACAGTACAGACCCCACACAGCTCGAGCAGGACGCTTCACTCAACGAGCTCGGTGGGGACTACACCTCGGCATCGCCAAACATTTTCACGCATGGAAAATCCTCGACATACAAGACAAAAATACGGTGGCATCACGTGATGTTATCTTCTACGAGCGACTGACGCTGCAGCATTACATGGACAACATTGCCAACACACACGACCCTACGGACGGCCTCGCGGGCCTTCGTTCCTTCGCTGACCGTGCTGCCGAGGCTGACGCAGCATAAGAAGACGTACCTGGAGCCTCGGAAACTGCCGGACCACTCCCTTTCTGTTCCGTACCTGTTCCACTCGACGAAGACAATCCTCTCGATAGCAACAACCTCGACACCTTTTACCACTTCGCTGACCAAGGTTACATTACACCCCACCCGGTCGACACGAATGTTTCAGAACGCATCGGCCCAAACTTCTTACCTGATCCAGAAGATGGTGACGAAGCAGCCTATTCCGGGAAGGAAAATTCCCCTCGACACACACCCACGGGACTGCAGATCTTTGGCCTATGGGTCTCCGTCCAGCATCCGCCGCCACCATCTCCGCGCGAGCCCTTGACTCTGTCGCAGGCTCTGGGGGGGGAACATAAGGTGAAATGGAAGGAGGCGATGGAAAAGGAGCTAAAAGCTCTGCAAGACCGAAATACATGCAAGTTGGTACCTGCAACGAACATCAACGGGAAGAACGTCCTCTCGGGGAAATGGGTGTACCGCATCAAGACCAACGCGGACGGCTCCATCGAACGATTCAAAGCTCGATGGGTCGTACGAGGCTTCGATCAACGATACGGAACCGACTACACAGAAACTTTTGCCCCAGTCTCCCGTCACACCTCCCTGCGCATCCTACTCGCCGTCGCGGCCACGAAGAAACTACCACTGCGCCAGATCGACGTCGCAAACGCCTTCCTGTACGCACCTGTAGACGCCGAGATCTTCGTCGAGCAGCCCCACGGATTCATCGACGACCCTACAAAAGTGTGCCAGCTGATACAATCCCTTTACGGGATCAAGCAAGCCCCGCGGCTTTGGCAGCAGCACCTTCACGGTCGTCTCGTTAGAATCGGATTCCTACAACTGCCACACGACCAAGGCATGTACCGACTACAGAAGGAAAGGGAATTCATTCTACTCATCGTCTACGTCGACGACCTGCTCTATATCGGCTCCACTACTGACATCGCCACCTGGTTCGAAGGGGAGCTGAAAAGGGACCTGACAATCACGGTGTCAGACACCGTAACCCAGTACCTGGGTCTGAACGTCGTCGAAGACAACTCAGCGTTCTACCTATACGCTGGAAAGTACGCAGGCGTTGTCGCAAAGAAGTTCGGACTAACACCAACTATAGTCGCGACTCCCTACCGCTACGGGAACAACAACGACACCTCCGCAAAACTCCCCGCGAAGCAAATCCAGGAGTATCAACAGAAGCTCGGCTGCCTACTGTTCGCAGCAGTAACCTGCCGACCTGACCTATCCTACAGCGCAAGCCAGCTGGCGATGCATCTGAAGCAACCGGAACAAGAAGATCTCGAAGAACTAAACCGGGCACTACTCTACTTCGTCTCTACACCGACGACTGGACTCACCTACAGCAAAGTAACAACACCATCCGTACAACTACTCGGATACGTCGACGCTGACCACGCGGGAGACAGGGAAAATCGACGATCCAGAACGGGCTACATCTACCGACTAGAACCTATCGGGACTATCTCTTGGCAGTCGAGCAAGCAGGAACTAATCGCACTATCTTCGGCTGAAGTAGAATATATCGCCCTCTGTACTGCGACCAAGGAAGGACTCTACCTACGAGAGTTGCTCGAGGAAGCGAAGATCGCGACCCTGCCCGTCTTCTCACTCCTCTGCGACAACCAATCTGCGATCAAAATCGCGAACAAGGACGGCTTCGCCAACCGAACCAAACACATTGCCCTGCGGTACTTTTTCGTCAAAGATGAAATCGCGAAGGGGAGACTTCAACTCAGTTACTGCCCTACAACAGAAATGGCCGCAGACTACCTGACGAAGAAACTGGCGAAGGCGAAGTTCGATTACTGCATGCTGCTGATCGGGCAGACAAACGTCACCGGATCTGAACACGTCAGCACTCCAGAAACGAAGGGGAGTGTTGGAAATATCTCAAGGACTTAAGCGTTTCTGAAGTGTAACATCACACTCGAGGAAGATCGTAACGAGTACGCGAGTCAACGGAGGTTACACGAGGGGATGGACAAAGAACATGAAAGGACTCGAAGGGTCGCAACCGGAGGTTGCGACTGACCGTTACAACTGCAGGAATGGTAACCGAAGCGACAATCGAGTCGCTGTGCGACTCGATAAACCGCCATCCAACTGTATTCTACAATTGCTTGTTTTCTACTTTCTATATATTGCTATATGCTTGTTCACTTTAATCAATCACTTGTTCTCATATACTAGTACAAGGGTTCAACTACTCAACTTCCGCTGCACTACTCAAGTCTTTTACAACTGGGACTTAGTCTCTGGAAAGATCCTAAGGGCATTTTCTCAGCCCAATAGACACATCCCCTAGGCTAGATAAGGGGTAGTGCTGAACAAGAAACACGCAGCCCAGAGTGGCACTACTAGTCCAACCTCTGAAGCAGGGGGCCGAAGACCAGTCAGCAAGAGTACAAGCAAGACAGAGCAAACCAGGGCGGCAATACTAGTCCAACCACTGGAAGAAAAGCCACAAGGCCGGTCTGGAAGGCACAAATAGGAAGGAGTACACAATCAAGGGCCTAGCAAGTGAGAGTCAACAGGGACTAGACCTAACTGCTAGCAGTACCGCTGATGATCTCTAGGCAGAAGAACCTTCGTAAAGATATCAGCTGTGTTGGCACCGGAGGCCAAGTGTACTACGCGGGCCTGGCGACGCTGCTGAAGCTCGAGCAGGAGGAAGTACCGCAGCTGGATGTGCTTCGCTCTGCCCTCAAGTCGAGGCTCCTGACACAGGAGGATCATGGCCCTCTTGTCAGCGTACAAAACGGGGGCAGAGCTAGGCCGCTCACCTAAGTCGGCAAGCAAGAAGGTCAGCCAGCGGAGCTCCTGTGCCGCCATGGCACCGGCGTAGATCTCAGCCTCCCAGCTAGAGTGGGCAACAGACGAGGAGCGAGTGGACCTCCACGAGATGGCACCAGAACCAAGGCTGAAGCAGTAGCCCTGAAGGACCTGAGGGTCTCAGCATCGTCGGCCAAAGAAGCGTCTGTGAGCCCAGTAAGGACCACTGGCCTGCGTCCTTCAAGCACTAGCCCCATGCCCAATTTTCTCGCAAGATAACGCAAGACCCTCTTAGCGGCCGACCAGTGCTGTGGTCAATGTCTGCCCGTGGCCGCAAAGCTGGCCAGGATGCTGAGAGGGTATGCGAGATCTGGACGAGTGCAAGTCATCAGGTACATAAGGCAACCCACCAGGTCAGTGTAAGGACCACTGGGCTTAGCTCACTCTTCGGGAACTTGAGCTGAGTGCATGTGGTCTACCAGCAGAGGTGTGGGCTGGGCGGAAGAGAACTAAAGACCGAACATTTGAAGGACCTGGCGCACCAAGTGTGACTGTGTAAGAGTGATGGTGCGTGCTGCTCTGTCCCTGGAGATCTGCAGGCCAAGGTAGCAGCGCAGCTCTCCCAAGTCAGTGCAGGTATGTCTCCTCAGCAGCTCAGCCTTCACGGAGGCCAGTGCATCTCTGTCTGCAGTAGACCAGGTCGTCTACATAGACAAGGATGTAGAATGGAGTCTGGCCAGCACAAACGAAGAGCGAAGGGTCAGCAGAAGACGGGAAGAACAGCAGGTCAGGTAGCGTAGCACGCAACGTGTCGTGCCACTCACGAGGCGCCTGTCTTAGGCCGTAGACCGGGCGCCGAATGAGCCACTGGGTCCCAGGAGGGAAAGTACCGGTGAAGCCCTGAGGACGGCGCAGGGAGACCTGCTCGTGTAGGCTACCCTGAAGAAAAGCAGTGGAGAAGTCAAGAGAGTGGAGCTCTTAGTCACGTTGTGCTGCTACGTGTAGCACCACCCGAAGAGTAGTCATCTTCGGGGTCAGAGCGAAGGTCTGAAAGAAGTCCACCCCCTCTCGCTGACTGAAGCCTCTAGCCATGTAGCGCACCTTAAATACAGGCGGCTCTCCAGGGGGGCGCTCCGCCTTGAAGAGCCAGCGGCCATCAACTACGTTCACCCCAGGTGGGGGAACTGCGTCGACGTAGGTGCCGGTAGCCCTCAAAGATGCCATCTCCTGCTCCATGGAAACTATCCACTGAGAGGCCCAGGGTCCCGAGGTGGCCTCAGCGTAGGTGCGAGGGGTCGGGATATCAAAGGCGTCGGGGTCACCCTCAGGGGCTAGCAACATGGAACAGAGATGGGGAGCAGCCTCTGATAGGAAAGCAGGCTTGTACTGCCGATCCTCTATGACGTCACTGCCGAGTGCAGGAGCACCCCCGAGGGACGGAGGACAGACAGGGTGAAAGACCAGAGCGGTAACGAAGTCAAGGCAGCGAGTAGAGGCAAATTCAGCGACAGCAGTGACAAGAGCATCAAGACTAGAGACAGGAACAGACGGGTCGGTAACGAGGGAGGCAAGGACCCGAGGAACCAGAGGACGAGCGGCACGAAGGTAGTCAGACAGAGGGGGAGGAGCGACAACAAGCGACGATGGAGGAGGCGAAGGCAGGAAAGGAGGACGAGACGCGTAGGAATGAAGCAACATAGGGTGAGAACGCTGAACAGGAGAGACAGGACGAGCACGAGAGGGACGGCGACACCAGACGTGAGACGGAGGCGTCGGGTCAGGAGATACTGGAGGAGTAACAGGAGGGGAACGAGGGGGGAAATGTGCCCGGGACGAGTTTGGCAGAGGAAACACAGGACCGTTGACAGGAAGAGGAGGAGACGACGAGGGAGGCACAGGCGAGCGGTCAGGGGAGGAAGGCCGAGTGTCACGGGATCGAATGTCCCGAGGAAAGGTTTGCTCAATGTTGCACTATCCATGAGTACAAGGTGCTTTTATACTTCCGAAGTACATCAGGTAACCAGGTTTATCCTATCTAAAAGGAATAGACCCTTCTAGATTTAGAATCACCCCGCGTATAGCCACGCGAGGCTATTGGCTTTAAGGGATTACGGCAGGATTACGCTAGATATAGCGCGCAAGTACATCCCGAGCCAGGTCGGTGATATATTCATAATAACAGGATAAACCAAAGGATAATGGAAAAGGAGAAATAGGAATCCAAATGGAATGAGATAAAGACCAAATGGATCAGGAGAGAAAGAGGA